GAGTCTATAGGCTTAGGCAATTGTGCTTACTAGGCATGTAACCGTAGGCAAATGAGTGTGTATTTAGATTGAGATATGCTTTTGTCATCAGCATATCGTGAGATCAGTGTCTGGGGAATTTTTCAAGCATGACAAGAGGAAACCAAGTAGTCCCTTTTCTCATGTAAGACAAAAACCTCCACCATTTGCTGCTGACCTCCCCCCCTGCAAAAAAACATGCAATTCATTTGCCTTATTGAGTTTCCCACAAGAACAAGATTTTAGTTTTCAAACCAAAGCCTGAATTAGAAAATTCTTGCAATCTGTCACACAAGTTAAGACGGGATTAGGGGTTGCCAATCTTTTGACATCAAAAAAACTAAGATCATGGCCACTGGTCCCATCACCTCCTGGCAAAAAGAAGGGGAAGATATGGAGGCAGTGACAGATTTTACCTTCTTGGGCTCCGTGATCACTGCAGATGGTGACAGCAGCCACAAAATCAAAAGATGCCTCCTTTTGGGGAGGAAAGTGATGTCAAACCTAGACAGCATCTTAAAAAGCAGAGACATCACCTTGCCAGCAAAGGTCCGCATAGTCAAAGCGATGGTTTTTCCTGTAGTGATGTATGGAAGTGAGAGCAGGGCCATAAAGAAAGCTGACTGCCAAAGAATTGATGCTTTTGAATTGTGGTGCTGGAGGAGGCTCTTGAGAGTCCCCTGGACTGCAAGGAGAACAAACCTATCCATTCTGAAGGAAATCAAGCCAGAGTGCTCACTGGAAGGACAGATCCTGAAGCTGAGATTCCAATCCTTTGGCCATCTAATGAGAAGAGAAGACTCCCTGGAAAAGCCCCTGACGTTGGGAAAGTGTGAAGGCAAGAGGAGAAGGGGACGACAGAGGACGAGATGGTTGGACTCATAGAAGCCTTCAGCGACCAACATGAGTTTGACCCAACTCCGGGAGGCAGTGGAAGACAGGAGGGCCTGGCGTGCTCTGGTCCAAGGGGTCACGAAGAGTTGGATACGACTAAACGACTAAACAACAACCACAACCTTTTGATTAGTTTTGTCTCCTGTGCTTAAAAACCAATGCAATTCGTCCTCCTGCCCCAGGAACCAACGTCCATAACTAGATGTAGAAAACTTCGGTGGATCTGAGTCCAATTTTATTTTCATTTTTATTTTGTAAGGAAATAACTTCTAATCATTTCTCCCTGCACAGGCAGCGCAAAACTGGGAGCAATGTAATTGTTAGGGGATTGCACAGGGAGAAGCAGGTTCTAGTCCTCATTTGAGCCATGATAATCACTCGGTAACTTTGTGGCAGCCATTCTCTCTCAGTCCAACGTGCCTTGCAGGATCGTTGTATGGATAAAGTAAGTGGTGAAAGCCATATGCCCCACCTTGACCTCACTGGAGGAAAAGTAAGAGAAAAATGTAACTAAGAAATAAAGTTTAATATGTGAGTGCCCATTGTTATTATGAGGAAAATGCAGCAGCAAGATATACTTCTGATATGCCGCCATGACCTGTGCCACTCCCTGGAAATGGCCAAACAGTGGCTATCGGATTAGCGAGGTTAATTTTCAGCAGGAAAGCAGTGTGCCCTTGGCTTCCTGTTTCACAGAATCACAGAAATCATAGAAAAGTGAAGTTGGAAGGGGGCCTACAAGGCCATTAAGTCCAACCCCCTGCTCAAGGCAGGAATACAATCAAAGCAGATCCGCCAGGTGATTATCTCAGTTTTTCTTGAATGCCTCCAGCGTTGGAGCACTCACCAAATCCTGAGGTCACTGGTTCCAACTGTTGCACTGCTCTAATGTATTCTTTACTGCAAACAGCAGAGCTTTTTCCCAAATCACATCTCTAGAGCACGCATATGGACACATGCGTGTATGGGGTGTGTTGCTTTTTAGCAGGTGATGGGAGTGGACCCACAATGGAGGTCAGACGCACACTTTGAACTGGGACGCAACGTCTGTGTTTTCCTCAGAATAAAAGAGGCCAGTTGAAATAATCCTTCCTCCTTCATCTGGCCACTGTGACACACGCCTTAGTTACAACCTGGCTGGATTGCAGTCATGTGCTCTGTGTGGGGCTACCGATGGAAAATGTCAGGAAAATTCAGCGGGCCCAAAGGGCAGCGGTCAGATTGCTGACTGGGGCTGGTTAGAGGGATAACATAACACACACGCACGCACACACACCCCGGTGGCAGCAGCTTCACTGGCTGCCGATCAGTTTCTGGGCACAATTCAAAGTGCTGTTTTTACTCTATAAAGCCCTAAAAGGCTTGGGTCCAAGCTATCTCAAAGACTATATCTCCCGTTATGAGTTGGCTTAGATGTTATGACCACCAGGAGAGGCCTTTCTCTCGGTCCCAACACCTTCACAGGCGCATCTGATGGGGACGCAGGAGAGGGCCTTCTCTGTGGCTGCTCACAGACTGTGGAACTCCCTCCCACTGGAGGTCAGATTGGCCCCATCTTTGCTGTCCTTCCGCAAGCAGGCAAAGACCTTTCTCTTCAGGGCAGGCTTCCCTTCAGTAACTGGCTCCCTGAGTGGGGTTTTTATATGGATTGTGATGTCTTACTGCTTTGACTGTGTTTTTAGTACCTTGTTTGCCTGAAAATAAGACCTACCCTGAAAATAAGCCCTAGTATGATTTTTCAGGATGCTTGTAATATAAGCCCTACCCCCCCCAATAAGCCCCAGTTAAGTGAAACCCTGCCCTCCACCCTTGTGCAGCAACCAGAAGATGACATGACTGTAAAATAAAACATCCCCTGAAAATAAGCCCTAATGCGTTTTTTGGAGCAAAAATTAATATAAGACCCTGTCTTATTTTGGGGGAAACACGGTACTGCTTGTATTTACCCTTTCTCAGAGCAGTACGTGTTCGTTCCTTTTTAATATTTGTATGCTTATTGTTTACAGCTTTAATGTTGTCTTTTAATGATGTAAGGTGTCTTTTGATACTCATTGTTCTTAGCCTTAAATATTATTTATTAATAATGAAAGCCACTGTTGTATGCCCATTATTTTCAGCTTTAAATATTGTCTTTTAATGATGTAAGCCACCTTCCACTTTGAAATGAGGGAAGTCTGAAACCTCCTGCCTTCTGGTACCCAGTGGTCCTCCGTTTTCATTCATTCTTCTGATGTTGTGATCACACTATCTTATGTTGTTCCCTCTTTTCTTAATATTCTTACCACTTTTCTTGTGCAATTGACTCTCCTTATATTCTCCTTTCTTACATTTTTATCTCTTCTCTTTTTTTAATGTCGTTCACTCCAGTTATGTTTCTCTGTTTTCTTATCTCCTTTCTTTTGATACACTTATCTCTCGTTATGCCCCCTGGTTTCTTCGGTTCTTATCACTTCTCTTCCTGTCTTCTTAGAGATAAAAAGGAGAGACGTCTTGACGCCACATGTAGTAAAACCCTATAGTACAGTATTTCGTTACCATGAAAAGCAATAATGGCAATAAACTTTGAGGGCTTTAAAATGGGATTGTTAAACATTGGGGATAACAGCATTTAGCATTTTTTACTAATCACAATGGCTATATCCTGCCTCTGATAGCAAAAAGGTGGTAGACATCTGTCTGTCAGCTCATGGGGAACATCCTTGATACTGGACAGCTGAGTTCATTTCTTGCTTAGGCACTTATGGACTGCTTGGCCATTGTGGAAAACAAAATATTGAACTAAACATGCCTTTGATCTGGGATGGGCAGCTTTGAGGCATCCGTGGGCTAGTGTTCTGCCACTGGGACCCTCTGTGGGCTACACCGACCACAAACACGGTGAAAAAAAGCAAAGATCTTGACGTGGGCTAGTGTTCTGCCACTGGGACCCTCCGTGGGCTACACCAACCACCAAACGCGCTGAAAAAAGCGAAGGTCTTGACGTGTAGTTGTGGGTTTTTCGGGCTCTGTTCTGAAGGTTGTTCTTCCTGATGTTTAGCCAGTCTCTGTGGCCGGCATCTTACGAGGACAGGAGTAGAACAGAGCATGGGCAGAGTTCCGACTCCAGTCCTCTGAAGATGCCAGCCACAGAGACTGGCGAAACCTCAGGAAGAACAACCTTCAGAACACAGCCAAAGAGCCCAAAAAACCCACAACAACCCTCAGATCCCGGCCGTGAAAGCCTTCGAGAATACATTTTGACGTGTACTTTCAAGTTTTAAAAATAGGCAGTTGGGGGTGGTAAACCATGTGAGGTTACCTTATGATTTTTCCAAAGCTGAACCCTTGTTCCTGGAGGTTTCCATGGGATGCCATCCTTGCTTGAAAAGAGAGAAGGGGTAGGGCAAAAAAGCCCCCCAAAACTCAGACTTAGAGGGCCACTCTAGGACTACTTCTGTCCTCTTGTTATCCAGCAGGCACAGCTTATATTCATAGCTGTAATTCTCCTCATTATTGTATTCGCTCAAAATGTAGTGTTGAAGGAGAGCTTTATGGAACGGCTGGATGGCTCTGTGAAATGTAGTGTTGAAGGAGAGCTTTATGGAATGGCTGGATGGCTCTGAGGTTTAGGCATCTGGTTAAGAGTTCGATTCCCCTTATTGTGCCTCCTTTACCGAGGTAGGACATGATGTTCCATAGGGTCCCTTCCAGCTCTGCAGTTCTCAGATGATGATGATGATGATATTATGGACGCTCTGCAGTTCTCAGATGATGATGATGGTATTATGGATTTCCAGAAGGATGAACAACTAGGTCCTAGATCAAATCAAGCCTGAACTCTCTCCAGCAGCGAAACATGAGTAAACGGAGGCTATTGTACTTTGGGCACATCATGAGAAAACCAGATTCACAGGCAAAGACAATAAGGCTGGGAATAGCGCGCAGTTGCAAGAAAAAAAAGGAGACTGAATAAATATATATATATATTGTCAGTTTTAACTTATGGATCCTTTTTAGGCTACTCCAGACAGAGAGTACAGTACTCAGAAGCGGTCTGTCCTACGTTTGATACTGCAATTGCATAACAAGGAACAATAATTCGGTGTGTTGTTATGGAAATGTCATTCTACAGCCAACAAGAAATGTGTCACACATCAAGTTCAGGGTAAAGACAAAGTGGAAGGCTGGAAATGTTTGTCGATAAATATTTGGTTACCAGTTGCCAGTTCAGCTGGGCAGGTTCTCACAAAAAGCCAGGAGAAGCTGTGGGGAAAGATAACCATTTTAATGAGAGTTTTACAGGAAAAAGGACCTTGAAAAATCCCTGCAGTAGAACCCCTTTCTAAATTGGGCAGTACTTCCACCCACACCAAGTAGAAGCAATCTTCAAAAGAATAGTAGAGGAAGTTAATCACTCGAGATAACCTGATGGCCTTCAGCTTCCTTCTGGATTATATTTAAGCAGCAGGCTCCCTTCTCCTGCTGATCTTGGGAGACAAAGCTAACTGCCTCTCGGTTAATCCTTCTGACAAGGTAAAGTAATTTCCTTCTCTTAGAGCATTATTGTCTATTTTGTAACAACGGTAATGTTGACCATACTACTAATACTAATAGGTCAGGACAGAGGAAGTGTGGGTCAGGAAAGCTATAAGGCACAGTGTGGGGCCACCAGGTGACTATAATGTTGGCATCCATTCTGATCCAAGGAGATCAGCATCCAAAGAGATACTCAGGGATCAAGTTCTAAGAGTGATCTCGGACCAGAGATACTCTCTCTCTCTCTCTCTCTCTCTCTCTAAACATCATCCACCTCATGGAGTTCTCTCTCTCTTTCTCTCTCTCTCTCTCACCATCATCCACCTCATGGAGTTGTGACTTTAAAGTGGTGTAGCCCCAAAGTGGGGTGATCTGCATACACCTACCAAAAGGCCAGGCATGCACAAAAAAGATCCAGAAGCCACGTGCCACGTATGTAGTAAAGTTTTTGTTTATTTCTATTATTATGTTGTTTTGATGTCGTCTTGTTAGCCGCCCAGAATGGTGGCTCTTCTACTAGTTGGGTGGGGTGAAAATGTAAGTAATTAAGTTAAGTACAGTAAATTGCAACTGCGGTAGACTCATTTGAATCAATGGAACTTAAACAGAGGAGTTGACTCACCAACGTCTTGCTGATTTGGGCCTACTTTAGTGTAATTTACTACACGAACGAACAGGATTTCAACCCTAGTGGATTCAACAGTACCCAATCCATAGATCATCCAACTTTTGGGGCTCAACCGAAGCAGCTGCCTGTGGAGAAAAGCCACACTTAAGAGTTTAGTATTAATCTGCAGCAAAATAAAATACTTAAAAAATATTTTAAAAGAAGTCAGAGATCTCTTAGAAATGCAGCTCTTCTTTCCATGCGCTCACCTCGGGTGCTACTGCCCTCTTCAGTGTGTCAAGAGACAGCAGTGGCGGTATGGGCTGCACCGTCCTCTTTCATTCCAATCCGAAATTTGCCTTGTGCTTCGCTTCCTTCTCTCCTGTTCTATTCCACAACTATGTGTAGTCAAGGCAGAACGTCTCTAGAGCACGTCTCTAGAAGGAGTGCTCCTTCAAGTGGTAAAAAAAGGGGAGACTAGGGTGATCTCTGGAACAGAAACACTGGTTTTCTTTGTATGCCTAATCCTGGAGGTCTACAAAACAAAAGAGATCACTCTGCTGGAGAGAAAATATAGCAAAAAACTGGTGTGTTTTGGCTGTCAATGTACATCCAGCTCTTTGTGTCTGTCCACCACATCCAGTAAAGGGCAGGGGGAGGGAGGGAGTCACTTTGCCAAATTGATACTGTCATTGTAAAGAATTAGGAGGACATTTAAGGGACCTTGATTGTGTTGCCATATTTCCACCTGCTTCCGTTATCGGTTACCTGAGCAATGAGATGCACTCTGCTTCAGAAACAGTTGTCCATAAAATATGTGAGAAACCTCACAATCCCATCTTTGAGATTTCTTCCCCAGAGAAATCTTGCTGCAAAAAGGTGGTGAGGAAGATTTCCCATCTCTTCATTTCTCTCTGAAAGTCTGCAGGATTTACATCCCCCTTTACAAAGCTGATAGAGAGACATTATAGGACGTGGGCCACCACAGAGATCGTGATCATTAAATGCTCTCTGAAAGTCTGCAGGATTTACATCCCAATTCCTCTGCTGTTTTTGTTGTGTACCCTACGTCCCCTTTACAAAGCTGATAGAGAGACATAGGATGTGGGCCACCACAGAGATCGTGTTCATTAAATCATGAAGCATGGCATTAGTGTGAAGTTAAGAGAAATGGAGTTGGCTGAATAGTTTGGAGCCAGAGGTTGGGGGTTCGATTCCCCCCACTGTGTGCCTCCTGGGAGGAGAGCCAGCCTGGGTGGCCTTGGGCAAGCTGCGGAGTCGCAGGGCTCCCCAGAAGAAGGGCGGTGGCCTTGGGCAAGCTGCGGAGTCCCAGGGCTCCCCAGAAGAAGGGTATGGAAAACCACTTCTGAGTCTTCTCTACCCAGAAAATCCTGAAAAGGTTTGCCATAAGTCAGAACAGACTTGACCGCACACTCTTATTATTAAGGGAGATGGACGCCCAGGGTTCAACAAAAACATTTCCATCATACTGAGCAATTTTGTGTTTCTGTCCTTAAAAAAGGTGCTTTAAACTAGGTCAAGCCAGCTTCATGTTGCCTGCTCTGACTGACAGTAGCTTCTTTGGGATCTCTGTTTTCCTGTTATCTGCTCTTTAAAGGTAAAGGATTCCCCTTGACGTTTAGTCCAGTTGTGTCCTACTCAAGGGGGCCGTGCTCATCCCCGTCTCCAAGCCGTAGAGCCAGCGTTTGTCCATAGACAGTTTCCGTGGTCACGTGGCCAGCGTGACTAGACACGGAACGCCATGACCTTCCCACCGAGGTGGTCCCTATTTATCGACTCGCATTTTTACATGCTTTCAAACGGCTAGGTTGGCAGGAACTGGGACAAGCGGCGGGAGCTCCCTCCGTCACGTGGATTCGATCTTACGATGGCAGGTCTTCTGACCTTGCAGCCCAGAGGCTTCTGCAGTTTAACCTGCAGCGCCACCATGTCCCTGACTGCTCTTTAGGGTCTTCTGAATGCCTGTCCCCCACCAGGGAGATGTTACCCTTTCCCATTTGCAGAGGGGGGAAAAAGAAGAAAAAAAACCCCACAAAACACTGCAGTTAAGACTGGGGTTGTGATCAAGGAGAAACATGGCATGACAAAATGAGCAACCCTGTCTTGTTTGTCCAGACACAGCAGTGGCTTTGTGATTGAGGTTTCCATGTCATGTAAACATGACATTTACTTCTCTTTCCTCAGGTCTTTTTTTCTCTCTCTCCGAGAATGTCAACTCTCAATAACAAACCTCATTGTATGAAAAATCCACCCCATTCCGTTCATAAAAATTCCTGCGTGTACATTTCCTTCTACGTATATTTCCTTGAAGCCGGGCTGCCAGGAGCCTGTTCTCATCAAGAGGGCCAGCTCAAGACCTATTATTGTTGTCTGAGACAAAGGACCGCTGAGCATCTCCTTCTTTCTTCCTTGAACCGCCAGGGACAATTGGACCCCCATACCTGCTGGGGATTGGTTCCAAGTCCCCCCGTGAATACTGAAAACCGTGGATAATAGGGAATGCTAAATATGTAGCCCGATGAAAGGGGAAAAAACCCCACCATTTGCAGCCTGAAGCAGTGGCTTCACTCTGTCTCAGTGGATGCTGGTGACTCTGATCTCATGGGGCTGATGAATGCACTCCGTCTTTTAGTCCAAACTTTTCAGGGGATATCCAAGAAGCTTAAATGCTATGCACAGAATAGTTCATAGGACTTATAGCAACCCTAACGGGGTTTTCAAGGTGAGATATTTAAGGAGTGGTTTTACTCGTTCCCCGCTGAGCTTCCATAGCTGAGCATGGATTCGAATCTTGTTCTCCGGAGCCCTAGTCTGTTCCTCTAACCATTACACCACCCTGGGAACACAAATACATGTGAAATAAAAGGGAGCCTTGAGGCCACCACAAAACGCAAATGCAACAGCAGACAATAGCTTTATAGACCAGTAAAAAAAAATCATCATACAATAGGTGAGCTTTTGTGGATCGAGACCATCCGCGTTGTCAGGCTTGTGAAGAACTGAAAAGTCCAAAAGTTCATGGCAAAATGTTTCTCTCAGATGTAAAAGGGAGCCCTGTGGTCAATGCAAACGAAAGATTACAATTGCTTTTGCATCTGTGAAGGAGGGCCGTCCTTCGCAAATTGCTTTTGTGATTAACAAGTGGAATCTGCAAAAATATTTTGCAGGAGGCGGGGCTTCTGCATCAGGAGCCCCGTGGCGCAGTGGTTCAACTGCAGTAAAGGGAAAAGTTAAGGTTCCCCTTGACAATTTGTCCAGTCGTGTCCGACACTAGGCGACGGTGCTTATCTCCGTTTCCAACCCATAGAGCTAGTGTTTTGTCCGCAGACAATCCTCCGCGGTCACGTGGCCAGCGTGACTAGACACGGAATGCTGTTTCCTTCCCACTGTGGTGGTACCTATTTATCTACTCACATTTTTGCAGTTTGCATGCTTTCGAACTGCTAAGTTGGCAGGAGCTGGGACATGTGACAGGAGCTCACTCCGTCACATGGCTTCGATCTTATGACTGCAGGTCTTCTGACTTTGCAGCACAGAGGCTTCTGTGGTTTAACCCGCAGCGCCACCAACTGCAGTACTGCAGCCAAATCTCTGCTGGCGACCTCTGTGCAATCCCAGGTATCCAGCTGAAGGTTGACTCAGCCTTCCAGCCTTCTGAGGTCAGTAAAATGAGGACCCAACTCAATGGGGAGGGTGGATATGTGGAGCCTGCATAATTAACTTGTAAACCGCCCAGAGCGTGTTTTGAGTGCTATGGGGCGGTATATAACTAGCATGATTTGCTTCCCCCCTCTTTTGCATAGGTACCAAGCAGGAGCCAGACTTTTTTATTTTCCAGATTCTTCCCTTCCTTCTCACCCTTATTACCAACCCACCTCTGATGTCCAACTTCTGTTGGACAAACTGGCGCAGACACCCTATCCTCTTTTTACAGGTCAACCAGCTCCCTGTCTAACAACCATTCCCTTGCCGGATCCTTATGATGATGATGCTGGTGGTGCTCCTCATCTACACATGCTGGCCCTACACGCCAGGGAACGGTGAGGTGGTGTCCTCTTTTGAAGACTTCTGTCCCCAGTTTTTCTTCAGAGGAACCCCACCAAGTATGGGGCTTGACCCCTCACACCCTGCTCGGATTTGCCAGCGTTACAAGAACCAATATCGGTACGCCACTCTGTATGACAAAGATAACCGCATCCCGGTCTATTCTGCCTACATCTACAACCCTGGGACGGCAAAGAGGCCAGATACGTGGAGGATCGAACCCCAGGTAAGGTTCAAATGAGATGAGAATAATTAGCACATCATTAGGAGCAGAGCTGTCTTAAGGGAAAAGACACGTATTCATCATACCCTCGAATTTTCTCTGTTCAATTTTTTGCAAATTAACTTGGTTTTCTTTTGTGATTGGTGGACAGGAAGCAAACATGGTCTCTTTTTGCAAGTCTGTTTGCTCAGGCACAGAACTTTGAAGGAGGTGCATGCCTGGAGGGAAAACATGATCATACATAGCAGGAATGCTGCCCTCTCCTAATCACGTGATTCCATGTTCAGAGACCTTATCCATCATGGCCAGTGGCCAATCTTCTCATCATGAAGTCGTCCTGGCTGCTTATGGAAGCAGGAAGTCTTGATAGAGAGGGTGTATTTGTCTACACAGCCATTTCCTCCATTTTTCATCCCCATTGGCATTAGTATTTTTTAATTCAGTCCAACCCACAGTGCTCTGGACACTAAGAAGACACAACCAGGAGTTTCAGACTTATAGTCTGTTTGGCCTGTCAGATTTCAACAACTGATCAGCCAAATCTCTAAGGGCACTCTTCATTTAGACTGTCTCCTAAGCCCAAACCATCAAAGACAAGGATGCATCTTTTTCCATAATATGGACTTTTAGCTCTTCTCATTCCTTTTTCTTTTTAAAAAGGTTTTCTGCACATTTTATTTCTCCACAAGGTTTGCAAACCTTAAGATGTTCAAGCAAAGGCACGTTGTGTTTTGCAGCAAGATCTGGGGATCGGAACTTAATCTTTTCCTCAAGAGTTCTCAACCTTAATTATGAATATATGTATTTATTTAATTAAACTACTTATATCCCACCTTCCTCCTTAAAAAGGCCCCAAGGTGGCTTACATACCGTAATTAAAAAGACAACATTTAAAAGCTAAAAACAGTAAGCATACAAATATTAAGAAAGAATTAAACAACTATTATATTAAAAAACCAGTAAATTAAAATCAATAGTAAAACACATTTAAAACTACAGAGCACAACAATCCGTCTAAAACTCTCTCAGACCACCAATCATTAAGGAAAAGCCTGCCTGAAGAAAATGGTTATTTCAATTAGTCCTAGCCAGCTAGATGGCTCAGTGGTTTAGGTATCTGGCTGAGGTGCCAAAGGTTGGGAGTTCAATTCCCCCACTGTGTCTATTGGGAGAAGAGCCAGCCTGGGTGGCCTTGGGCAAGGTGCACAGTCCCACAGCACCCCTAGAGAAAGGAAATGGTAATGTACTTCTGAATATTCTCTACCTAGAAAGCCCTGAAAAGGGACACATACCATATTTTTCCGTGTATAAGACTATACTGTTGTCTAAAATCTTTAGACTAAAAATTGAGGGTTGTTTTATACACAGAAGTAAGCTGAGGAGAAAAAACAAGTGCAGGGGGAAGCAGGGATCAAAGTGATCCTGCAGGGCTTTGATCCCTGCTTTCCCCTCCATTTGCTAAGCCTTAACAAAAGGAAAGCAGGGATCAAAGTGCTGCAGGATCGCTTTGATCCCTGCTTTCCCCTCTGCTTGCTAAGTCCCATCGGGCTTAGCAAAAGGAGGGGAGAAGGATCAAAACAATCCCGTGGCTGTATAAGAGGGAAAGGGAGCAAAATAGAATGAATGAATGAATGAATGAATGAATGAATGAATGAATGAATGAATGAATGAATGAATGAATGAATAAATAAATAAATGATTGTGCAGTCATGGAATTGCTT